TATATACATACGCAATTGATCGTTAATATATGAGATGAGCTAATATAACAAATGAACAATGTGTATGTGTAATCAATATTTTCTATTTGTAATAATGTATTTACAACTTACATATTCCTTTTACCTTAATTAAATACAAGTTATTTCAATGTAAAGTGCAAACAACATTCGCGATTACATCTGTTTGAATGCGGTAGTATGCATAAAAATTTATACAGGCGAATGCAATTGCTTCGTAAGATATATTATTATAAATCTGTCGTGATGACAAGGGTATAAAATGCTAAAAATAACAATTTTGGAAAAGAGAAAAGAGAAGATACATATTTAAGAACACAACTCTTGATGAAATAAGAGAAACATATTTTACAGTATTAAATTTTTGATATCCAATATATGTATAAGTTAATTATATTATAATTATGCCAATTAGAATATAGAGTTAGAGGTAGTTTAAAGTGGTGACATTACCTGGGCCGCTACTCACCTACAGGCACTGAGCCTGTCATGGGAGTAGGTGATGATGACACCATGGTCAACCGACCTTGTTCTTTTACTATAGGATCTAGAAAAGAAATATTGTTAAGCAGAAAAATACACTTAACATGATTTCACAATGTATAATACACAATATAAATGCGCAATTGTATTAACTAAAAATTCTTTTCTTTCTTCGATATTTAAATACATTCTCCTCAGATGACACGCGCGCGCGCACATACGCAAAGATAAATTTCAAAAAATACATATTGCATAGATATTTGTGTATGCATGTATATGCTTACAAAAATAAGGATGTTCCATTGCTTCACGCGCAGTTAATCTCTCATAGTGGTCATAGCGTAAGAGTTTATCAAGAAAATCCAAGCTTTCGGGCGATACTAGATGCTGGTTTTCCGAATGTACAAAACGTTCCCAACGTTTACGCGAATGTCGACCTAGGATATCATTGAAACGAGGGTCTAATTCAATATGATACTTGTCCAGATATTCAAATAATTCCTCAGTCCCAAGAACTTTTGCAATTCGAACTAATTGGTCATAATTATCATGTCCATGAAAGAACGGTTCTTTCCTAAATATCATACTTGCAAGCATACAACCCAACGACCACATATCTAATGAATAGTCGTACATCTGCAAGATATCGAAAAATATTTCTCATTAAATTATAATATCTGCAATTTGAAGATATATGTATATAAATACACACACACACACACACACACACACATAAATGATCCAGCCAATTCTTTCTTTCACTCCTCTCTTTTTCTTTTTTTTAATTATATTTTTATATTGCAATACTTACTTGATAATCTACAAGTAATTCCGGACCTTTGAAATAGCGGGAAGCTACTCGTACATTATACTCTTGACCAGGATGATAAAATTCTGCTAGTCCCCAGTCGATTAATCGTAACTTTCGATTTTCATGATCTATCATAACATTGTGCGGCTTCACATCTCTGTGCATAATTCCCATACTGTGACAATAATCTAGCGCCTGTACAGAAAGGAAACAAAAACAATTATGTTATAAATGTTATAAAATATTCTCATCTCTGCAGCCGCGATTAGACGATGGAACGGACATGATATCCAGACCTGCTATCACTATATATTACTTACAATAAATATTCACAAGATCCAATAATTCAAAAAAAAAGTTGCTGAAACTTCAAAAAATCTTTGAGTGGCAGGATGAAAAAGAAAGTGTTTCCCTCACATGTTCATCTTTGCTTTAATAGAGTGAAATCATATATTTAAAATTACTCTACATTGTAAAAATAAAATGGCATTGTAAATAAATTGGATGTAAAACCATTACATATATTCATATACAAATTATAATTTATATATATTAACTGTAGTTTTTAGCTATCAATATCTCAAATATTGTTGCGAAAAAAAAGCATGGAGAGCGATAATAATATTGATAATAGAAACGAAGGGGGGGGGGGGGGGGGGGGGGGGGGGGGGGGGGAGAAAAAGCATTATATAAAGCTATCAATTATTGAAAAATCCATAAATAAATTATTTTATCACTTGAAAGATAAAACATGTGAATAGTTTTCATTTTCATCCAAAATAGCAATATCTTGCAAGAATGCAGAAATGCTGCATAAAAGACAAAATTAAACAATAAAATTGAATTCAATCCCGTTATCCCTGATATTAACGAGAAATATGAAAACACAATAATTCAGTATCTTTGAATTCTTCCTGGAACCTACGACGTATACACCTACATCTATTATAAAACAATAATCTCAAAGGTTCGATGGACTGATATTTGATTCTATTGCACTTATAACAATACACGCACTTTTAATAATTCATAGAGGTAGTATCTTATGTCGTAGTCAGTTAGCGTCTGGTATAATTGCTTGAAATCTGTGTTGTTCACATGTTCGAAAATCAATGCTGGTGTCCTCGAAACTGGATCCTTGACAACTGCTTGGAGTGTAATTATGTTGGTCCCTCCTTTAAGATTTTCTAAAATTTTTATTTCCCTTTTTATTTTCTTCTTTTTTACAGGCTACAACAAATAAAAATATAGTATTAGTATTATGAATTTTCATTTTCTGTTGTTTTGTGTTGCTTCAAACGTATAACAATAAATGTATTATTGCACCTTCAATATTTTTACGACACATTTTTCATTGTTTGTAACATTTATGGCCTCAAATACTTCACTATATTTACCCCTGCCCAATTTTCTTACTAACTGGTAATCATCTTGTTGCCTATATCAAAAAATAAACATAAAAGTAAATAAAACAATGTGTAATAATATGAACAATACCAATGATATTCTGACGTGTGATATAGCTTACCCCCAATCGACAACATAAGATTCATAGTCCCAGTATTCTCTTGGTTTATGTGAATTTACATCGGCATAGACTCGCGCTCTACTAGGTAAAGCCATTCTCTCGGAAATATTATTATCGATAAGCGTCTTGATGAATGATATACTGTCTCGACTGTCTGTTCCAAACTTACAGCTATTAATGACTTTGTCTCTTCTGCTCACCCAGCTACGTACATGTGAGAGCAGTAATAAACCTAAACGATTTACATAATTTACATTGAGAGCAAACTTGTATCTCTAGAAAAGAATATAAAGTAGGATAATATTTTTGAATGATAAATCAATTAAATAAATAAGCGTATAACAGACAATTTGACAATATCATCTTTTAGTATTCTAGTACATACGTTGATGGAATAGCATAAAAATTTCAGAATATATGTATGTATATATATATATATATTTCTTTTTTAATTTGTTAAAAATAGACATATGTATGTATTTTAGAGAACCTTAAAAAGATTTGAATCTCCGAACATAATTGTTAAATTTTGCTGTGATAAAAAAAACACTGCAATAAATTTCAAGATGTATTTAAAATGATAAAAGGCACGATAAAAATGTGCAATTAGAAAGATAAATCCGAGTCATTATTAATTAATAATAAGTATTAAAAAAGAAAGAGACAGAGAGAAAAGAAGAAAGCACGTTATTTCAATATTTTCCCTTATCGATTGTAATGTTAGTACCTTAGATACATCCAACGTACGTCGAATGGCCGCAGTATTCATGAAAAAATCGTACGTGTAAAGATACAATTGCTTTTGTACCCGTGATTAGAGTACATCTTAACGAGATTACC